GCTTTACACAATTGATGTGTGTATGGATTGGGATAACAGTTGTATGAGCCCCTAATAAAATGTTTTAAAAAAAAAATCGGGACTGTCCCGCCAAAAGCGGGACGTCTGGTCGCCTTAGGCAAGGGACCACACTGGGCGGTCTCCTGGCCCACTCAGCCATTCTTCCCCGTCCCTAGCAGACTCCTCTCCCTGGGATGGTCTCTGAACTGTGCCTGCTGTCTTCCTTTTCCAGCCTCATCGAGTTCCCACCCTCCAGCTCCCCAGTGCCTTCCTTTGAACAGGTTGTGCCCACCAGTAGCAACAGCCCGCTGACCCTGCCGCAGGTGTTTGCCATCGCTGCCTATTCAAAGGGATTTGCCTGCTCTGCTGGGCAAGGGCGAGTTCTGCTGTTTGAGAAGATGGAAGACAAGGATTTTTACCGCGAGAGCAGGGAAATCCGGGTAAGGAGAAGAGGACACAGCCGAGCTGGGTGCTGTTGCCACACGTTGTCCAGCCAGGTGCTCGGACAGGACCACAGTAAGGAGCTCAGTGGTGACTTGAGCTCCATTTCGTTGGGACGAGCTGGAGGGGGTTGGGGTTTGGAATTAGGAAGATCTGGGTTCGAAACCTGGGAGATCATTTTGGGAGAGTCCTCCAGGGACTGGTCCCCCTCGCCGGATAACATGTCTACAGCACATGAGACAAAGTCTTGCCATCTTCCCGTCTGTGGAGGATTCTGGCTGTACTTCTGCCAAGACAGATGTGTTTGTTCTTCTGTATGTCCACGCTTCTTTTCCCACACCATAATTCAAACGCCTCAGTTCTTCCCTATGCTTCCGTATTCATTGTGCACCACTAGCAGTCATTGTTGCTGTGGGTAGCAACCCGATAAGAGGCTTTTGTGATACTGAAGTCCGAAGCAGTGAGGTCCTAGGACAGGCAGTTGGTAGAAGGGGAAGTGGGAGCCTTTGTGAAACTTTAATCTGTCACTTGTCCCCGAGCAGGTGTAGGCAGCCAGAGCTAAGGGGTTCTCCACGCTGGCAGCAAGCCTCTGAGGCAGGGTGGGGTGTTACCATGCCCGTACCCATTGCCGTGGAGCGGGTCTCAGCTCCGTGTGACCCCGGAGGACAAGCTAGAACTGCCCTGGGGGGTCCGAGACCACAACTCCTTACAGGAGCAGAGAGCCTCATCCTTCTCCCATGGAGCAGCCGGTGGGTTTGAACTTAGCCTGGTGGTTAGCAGCCCAGCGTGTGACCCACTGCCCCACCCAGCTCCTCGGGAAAGGTAATGGAGACGTTGGGGGAGGGGTGACGTGAGGGCAGACTGTGGGGAGCAAGTGTTCTGGAAGCATGGTGAGTCTTCTGTGCCCATAAAGCAGTTCATTCTTTTGTTTACCCATCTGACTACTATTTGGGGTGCTTACTGTGGACTGTTTGCTATGTGCTGGGCTCTGTGCTAGTTTCTGGGAATGAAGTGAGTCACCCAAGCAAGAAGACCCTGTCCTTCTGTGCCTTCAAGCTCAGTCAACAAGTGTGTTATTCTGGGTAGACCTGAGAAACAAATTCATAGACACTCATATGTGTATAGCAAAGAGCTTTATATACAAGAACTATTGAATATTGAGAAAACATTCCAGCCCAGTCCAGATCAAGTCCATTAGCTCCTATTAGCCGACACCAATCTATAAAGTCCTCTTCAGACTCAGGCAATATGCAATGATGCCAAATGCAGGATGATCACAGGCCAGTGGGTGGAAAGTCTTGTGGCTCCAGTGGCAGTGGAAGCATCTCAATGCTGGCAGGGGTCTCCACATGGCTCCTTCAGCTCCAGGTCTTGAGTGTAGCTCCATGTGTCTTGTCCGCAGGAATGTCTCACAGGGAGTGGGCCTGTGTGTCTCGCCTCCAGCGAGCTATTTATCTACCTTAGCACCTCCAAATTAGATCATCAAGCTGTGACCTGATTGGCAAGCTAAACTCCACCCCTTCACTCTTAAGTCTCAAATTGACAACAGATTATGTAACTACCACA